GTTGGGAGAAAGTATGGAACTTTTAAAGCTGGGCCCTAGTGGGAGGTCCTTAGATCAACTGAATGTACTTCTTCAGAGGGTATTATGGGGCATTGATATCACTCTGCTTTCTGTTAGATAATGCAATTTCTTCCACATGCATTCCACCATTGGGGCATCATCTGTCATAAAGTGCTCACCAGAACTGAATTTATACTGGTGGTATGTCCTTGAACTTCCAGAACTGTGACTTAAATAAACCTCTTTTCTTTATAGTGAACTAGTTCTGATATTTCATTATAGTAACAGAAAACTGGCTAACATACTCAGGCAAATTGATCTGCAACAGATACCACACAGAATAGAGAAAAATAATTTCTGCCAAGACCTGTCTGAATTCTTGGCCCATAGAAATCCTGAGCAATTCAATAGTTATTGTTTTTAGCCTTTGAATTTAGGGATTTTTTTTTTCACCTTGAAATAGGTAACTACAGATCTATAATAGTACTTGCCATTAAATGATGTGATTACTTATTTGTCTGTTTCCATTTTTTAGACTCCAAACTCCTTATAAATGCAGGGAGAATGTTTCCATCACAAGAGTTATAGCACCTGACCCACACAAATGGTTTACAACAAGAACCCATGAAAAAATGGAGACTCTTGGGGCTACTCTGATCCTCTTCATCACAGCCACCCCCTCCCCACCAGCTGCTTGAAATGGAATCCTTTCCTATTTGTTGAAGAAAGATCTGATCTTTGTCTGTCTCAAGTTAAAGTCTCTTACCATTGTCTTTTACTTTCTTATTAAAGATTTTTCCTATTAAAAGATGGGGTTGCCATCTTTTAAAAAAAGATGTCATAGCTGGGCGTGGTGGCGCACGCCTGTAATCCCAGCACTTGGGAGGCTGAGGCAGGAGGATCGTTGCGAGTTCAAGGCCAGCCTGGGCTACAAAGTGAGCTCAAGGCCAGCCTGAACTGCAGAGCGAGACCCTGTCTCAAAAAAAAGATGTCACACTGAAGATTGATTGAAGGAAATAAATGGAAATCATGAAATAAAAGATATTCTAGAATGATTGTGGAATGGATGTTAAAATCAAGATGAAAGGATTCACCAAAACTCTTTTAGTTTCTGAATTCTCCTAATAGTTTGTGAGAGTATTAACCTCTGTTAAAGTCAGTGTACTACCTCATTGGACCCCACAGATGGTGGTTTTCATTCTTTAAAATCTGAGTTCCTTATAAATGGAGGAGAATGATTCCATTGCCAGACTGTTTCAGGCAGATACCACCATGGACCACTAGCCTATAAATCAGACTTTCAGTCTCTGGGAGAAATTTGTACCATAACAGAAATACAGATGTACCAGCAACTGCAGACCTGAGGATATGGCAAGGCGGGGACAGGAGGAAGCTTAGCTGAAATTCACCTGGAGCTTCAAAGGACTTCCACAACCATCTGTTTGAGTCCTTTCCCTTCACCAGAACCTACTGATCAACCCAGCCACAGTGACTTGTCCCTCACTTTCTCTCTTCTCTGGGAGCCTCTCTGAATTCACTTCTCAATGGTCCTGCAAGCTGTGTGCCTCACAGTCTGTATCATTTCCTTTCTCCTTCCTGGAGTGCTGTGTGATTAGTCCTATGCCTTCGTACTAGTAATGCCTGCATTCATCTCTGGAGTTTCTTTCCCTTCTTCATTAGGCTTCCAGAAATAAACCCTTTATTTGCTTTGTTATTTCCAATGCTTTAGGACTTAATCTGGCTCTTTTGGGCTCTATAAATCTGTCACTGACCTCTGAAGCCGTGGTTCCCTAGAAAGTGTGGGAAGGGAACTGGCTTGAGCGCACCATGAATTTAGGTCCAAACCCTGGCTATGCTCCCTGTGATTCTGCATACGTTCCTTAATGACGTGAGCTCCTCAGCTCTGTAGGTGACTCATGCTGCAACCTCACAGGGCTGCTGCACAGGGACAGGAGACTTTTGTATAACGTGCTCAGTCTGGTGGACAGTAGAACATTCACAGATACTATTTTTTCTCCTAATGTCTATTCTACTCTTTTGTCCTGACATTATATCTACTTTATGATAACTTTTATCCTTGTATATCATTTACTTTTAATGTTTTTGTATTAATTGTATTATAGGTTGCCTCTCAATATAAGTGACTTATTTATTTTCATATGCACCATGGATAACATATTTGTAAGAATTGGTGAATGAATTAATAAATAAATGATAGGAAAAGCAACTAGCTAGTAGGCCCTACCACCCTTTACCAGGTAACTCCACAAACACTGAATTAGAACATCTCTGACCTCAGGATTTTTGTTTTCTAGGAAAAGAATGAATAGGGAAAACCTCACCTCATAGTTTTTTTCTGTATCATTTAGGACCATTTTGATAGAAGGAAATGGACACTGTGTCAATTACAAATGACCACTGAAGTCATGAGAATTAAGACCAGTGAAGATGTAAGGTTTGTTTCCCAAGGTTTAGGCTTTCCTAATGAAAGTTTGCTGCCAGGTCAGAAAGAATTCATGTGAATTAAAAAGCAATGATGTAAATAATAATTACAAGTTCATTTTATGGGCTTAAGGAAGTCAATAGGAAATTACAAGAAATATCATGTTTACAGAGTAAGGACTTTAAGGCTCTTCTGTCTTCCATGTGCATCTGCTCATGAAGAGGGAGAGTGAAGACTCCATGACAATAGTGTTTTATTAGCAGCAAAAAGCAGCACAATATAGGAGAAGTAAACAAGAAATGGAATCAATCAGTGATGAAAACCAGCTCTATTGAATCCTCATGGTATATGAGGTTTAGAGAAAAAAACCCTATGCAATATTATTAGCCTTCAAAAGACTTCAGAAAAGAACTCAAGAAAGTTTTTAGCATCGAAATGTCCTGGCCAGAGTCACAGGGTTTTCAAAACCAGGCTCCCTTGGGTTACAGGGAGGATAATTCCCATGCAACTGCCTAACAGTGATTTTTATATTGTTTATCATGCTGGGAAACCCTTCAACAGCAGAATCTTACAGTGTCCCCCAAATATAAAAGAGGTAACTGGTATTTCTGTGGGGTTGTGACAAAGCAGGACACAAAAAGGAAGAGGGAATCTTCAGAGAAGAGGGTAGAATTTTAGATGGTGTGTCATAGGACATGAGGTCTGGCAGAAAATATTTAGGTCTCAGATGTCTGCAGGCTTTTATGTATTGCTATGGGCAACAGGCAAAGTTTGTGGTCAAGACCTAGCTTGTTAAAGGGCTCATGAGGCAAAATTAGGGGCTGTGGATTCATTCACACCACAGAGAAAGAAAATAGGCCCTTGTGTGCTTTGTGACACTCTGATCTCAGTAGAATTTATTCTTTCTGGAAAATATTTTTTTAAGTCATAATTAAGGCTCTGAGTGGAGGCCAATTTCAACTTAGTAACACCTAAATATGTCTTAACCCACAGGCTGCGGAACGCCCTTCAGAAAGAACTAACAAGAAGACAGCAGCAGCTCTTGGACTCGGTTGCTCCTAGGGAAAGGAGCTTTGATATCGCAGGATACTAGATTCTTCTTTTTTTTTTTTTTTTACTGGATTCCTGTAGGAGTACTTAGCAATAAGCCTTTAGGATCTTGGGTTCTGTCCTTATTGGGAATGGCTATAATCCTGTGTCTGAGAATCTAATCTTAAACACAAGAGTGTGGTTACAAATCAAGATAAAGGGAAGGGAAAAAAAACTTTAAATGTGTGTCTGCTTTAATGAAAACTCTCAGGGTCAGAATGATCCAGAAGATAAATAAAAGAGTGGTCGGAGAGATATAAGCATTTGGGGGCAAGGAACAGCTGAGGCAGCAATCCCAGTAGAGGCTTACTTAACAGTGACTAGGCGGGGGTTACATTTCGGGGGCCACACCTGTTTACAGACAGGTCAGGCTCCAGAGCGCCTCCTACCTCTCCTACAGGACACCCTACTTCAGTTCCCGGTCGAGGCAGTCCTCTGAGTGCCTCAGCCTTGGGGAAATCTGAGCTTTCCCTGGCTGGATGTCAGCTCCCTGAGACCACTGAGAGCTGGAAGATTGCAGGGGTTCCCTGCGGAGCTGCTCATTCCCCCAGAGTGAGGCTACCTGGTGGGCTGCTCAGGTTTGCCCCAAGGCAGGTGACTTTCTGCCTGTTGTTCAGAGCAGAGCACAGGGCAGGGTGGAAAAAGTGGAGAACCGGCTTCCTACAAGACCCTCACATTCCCAGGCTCCTTCTTCCGGTAATTTCTTGATTTCCTCCTCCTCCTTAGTATATCTCCTTAAAAAATTTGGTTAAAGAGTAATAACAGAAGAAGAACTTTAAAAATGAGGAAAAAAACTGCAGGTCTGTGTTAAAGATGCTGCTTGAATTTCTGTGCAGTGTCACAGTGAGTCACATTTCTGCAGTATTTTAGAAAACAATGGCTGTGATGTCGGTTTTTTTTTTTTTTTTTTTTTTAAAAAAAAAAAACAAACCCAGCCTCCAATGAAGGTTTGAGCGATGACAATGCTCCATTGAATACTGCAAAGAACGTGCCTTTCAACCGAGGAGGCATTTCACCGGTAGCACGGAGAAAACGCCACCTACCTCACACATCTCAGAAAAATTAACTTTCACTTCCTCTTTTCCTTCTCAAAGCACCACAAACGCAGCCGGGGCTCTTGCTGAACTGAAACTTAGCTGACGTGTTTGCGTTTGAGCCTTCACAATCCTGCCCGCAGTGGCTTGAAAGAAAACGAAAGTCTAGGAGGTAAGTCTGCATTTTATAGAATCTAACGCTGTGTGAGTCTGCGTGTGTCTTCTCTTACACAGAAAAAGAACTTTTCTCCTTTCTCCACACTTACACTTTTTTGCTAGGCAGGCAAATCAACATATTAGCTGAAGGGAGGATCCCAAACACATAAAACACTTCATCCAAAAACCTTTAAGTAGGGACTGCCCCAGACAGCCTCACCAAGAAACATCGACGCATTCAAGGCATTCAGAGCAAGCAGGGGGCGAGCGTGTCTTACCTGTATTTCTTTCACTACTCCGTTATTCATGTGCTTTTCATCGTGAGAGGTGCTGCTCTGCTTCTTGCTGTTGTGGAGAGTCCCATTGCCCACGGTGTCACCTCCAGGATTAGCCATTTGTAGGAAGCGATAGAGCCCAACAAGTGTCCCTTCCACAAGGTGTCCCTGAGTTTTGGTTTTCAAGTAGGTAAAGGGATGGGATAAATCACTTCGGGGCTGAGCTCTTAAAGGAATCCTACCAGTCAGGCTTTTCCAAAAGAAGAGCTACAGAGTAAACAAATGGTTACCTTTATACTCCTCAGCCCTTCTCAGAGTGTGGATTCCATGGCAACAAACCTGCTTCCGAAACTACAAAGGAAGTTGGCTACGGCCAGCTAGTCTTGGAGGCTGAGGAAACCTGGGGTCAGTAAAACGCGGTGACAGACTGTAAGGAGGAGGGCCGGGAGGTGGAGAATCTTTTAAAGACATACACACACACACACACACACACACACACACACACACACACACACCGCTCCTAGAATCTTCTAAGTACTTCACAGCTGATTTCAAATTGGTCTCTCTCCTTTACCCCTTCCCTCCTCCGTATAATTATAGTTTTCGGTTGTTAATCCAGTCTAAATGTCATGGTTTCTTTTTGCTGTAAAATGACATTTGGAAGTGATTGCCAGGGTCTACAGGGGCAAAGAAATGGAAAGTTACTCTTTAAGAAGTACAGAATTTCAGCTGGGGCGGAAGAAAAAGTTATGATGAGGGACCACTGCACAGCAATGCAAATGTACCTAATGCTGCTGAATTGTACTTTGAAAAGAGGTTAAAATGGTAAACTTTATGGGCGGTTTACCATCATAAGAAGTAGCAACAAGATTCAAAGCCTGCATTTAAACATATAGACCTATCCAATGTATAGAACCAATGATATAAAAAGGAATCTTAACCCATCAAGAATTATAGTAAGAGAGAGAAAATGGGAGACAGTACATTTACTTCCTCATCATAAAAGCATTATCTTTATCACCTGACCACTTACCCTCTTTCTGTCTCAGTTTTTCCAACCTTAAGATGAGACATGGAGTATTGATAGATGAGTATCTGATGGAAATAATACTGTGGCGTGGGTCTGTTGCTGTAGGTACTATGAGGAAGATAAATAACTGGAATGTCCCAGCCCTAGAACACTCCTGGTTTACTCATTAACTCTTGTTCCCTCCATGCACAAATCATCAGAGGTCTGTTTCTTCTTGCTATCATCTATGATAGCATGATTTATTGGGGAATGTTAATCATTTACAGCCTAATGAGTCCTTTCCAAGCCCACCTTTGTGGTTATCTTGTGTTGGGGCTTAAAAAAAAAATGATATCCCAAAGTAATGGGAACTTAAACATAAAGTTCCTCTTTTACCTTGTCCTGTTCCTCATCTCCTACTTTTGGATCTGTCTCTGTTCCCCCCATGAATGGCCATAGATACTAAAAACCCCCTTTTCCCAAAGTGAGACATAAAGCCTGTCCATGTACTCTAGTCTTCCCCAGGATTTTTGTTTTAAAGATAACCATAAAGAAATTCTCAGACTTACCTTCTCTGAAGTAGGTTGTAAGACTCCCGTTGTAGGAGGGGTCCTGCCCCTTACCTGGAAGAAAGTCCTGCTGCAAGGTGAAGAATCCAAACATGCAGGTCTCACTGGGTTTCTCTGAACAATATAAAATGTTTTGTATAAAAATACATAATTTGCCTTGGGTCTTTGGCTCATCAGTTGGAAGGGTCCTGTATTGTATGATAAAATAAATTAAATATGCTTTTGTTTCATTAATGTGTCTTTTCATATACAGACATTAGCCAGCCAGAACCCTTTTTGATAAACAGAGGGCCATGGTTCCCTTTTCTGTACCTACACCAAATCAATATCTTTTGTTGACATCAGAAAATTAGAAAAGAAACCCATTTATTGGATCATTACACACAAACAAGAAGGCAAACAAATAAACAAAAAAAGATAGAAATAGTGCCTATTGCCAGAGCCTCATTTCCTGGTTCTAAGCTCTGTTGTTGGGTTTGTTTCTCCTCCAAAATGATGTGGCTTCCAGAAGAGATTATCAGAATGTTTTCCCATCTGTGATTGTCATGTGAAGCTCCTCATTTTTTCCCATCCCAAAGAGTGGTAGAAGAATAAGATAAGGTCTTGTGTCACATGAGAAGATGGACTTAATAGCTCAGAATGTTTTTGCATCTCTCTCAACTTCTGTCATCAGAGCAGAACAAAGTTTTCACTGGTCTCTGTCCTATAGCTGTTACACAAGTGTTGGGAGCTAAATTCTTTTTGGATTATTTCTCTCTAAGCTTGGGCAATATTAAGAAGGAGATCTGACTACTGTTGCTTTCACTCCCTTGTGTTGCTTAGAAAGATAAGTTGAAGACATTGTATCATTTTAACTGAGCTCCAATATTCTGTACAAAGATATGATTAATGTTATTTTTGGCACTGGGGTTGAATCACCAAACTACATACTCAACCCCTAAAGGTATTTTTGTTTCTTCTTTTTCTCCTTTATTTTTTCATTATCCTTTCCTTTCACCCTTCGCGCTTCTTTATTTTCTTTTCCTCCAACTCCCCGTCCTTCTCTTTCTTATTTTTATTTATTTTTTAACAAGAGGACAAAAGCATCTGTAAAGAGAACACCTCAAAACACAGTAGAAGTCTATTTCATTTTTTCCCGAAATCCTAGGTGTCAAGCTAGATAATCATGCAGACACTTTGAGGCAATACCAACTACATATTCCCACTCTTGAATATTTTCTGTTTTTTTATTTTAAAGAGAGTAGTAAATGAGAAAAAAAAGAACAACAGCAGCATACCAACATCACAAACATAAACGAAACGAAGAACATTAAAAGTGATACAGTGTTTCAAGACAAAACAATGAATTAACAGTGGTTGTTATATTACATATTGCTATCTTCAACTATGCTGCTCAGATTACCAGATGTAAGAATGGAAGATTGTTCAAACCATTAAAGAGAATATAAAAATAATTATTAGCTAAAACATTAGAGATAATACAGAGTTTCACTAGACAAGATGGTAGAAATTCACCGTGGTTGTTCCACTGCACATTGTTGTCCTCAAGTCAGTTGCGCAGATTACCAGACATAAGCATGCAAAAGTGGTCAGAACATAAAAGATTTTGAGCATTAACTGTTATATTTTCTATTTTACTTGCTATATTGGAATGTATGCTTCAAGTGCACACAAGATCGTCATAATGTACCAACAATTTGATATTAAGCACTGCTGGTATGTTTAATCAGGGATAGTTTTTTTTTTTTTTTTTTTTTTGATTCCTACTATCCACAGTAAAAGTAAATGTGGAGTTCTATTCAGGTGTGGTAGCTTTAAGTTTAAGGATTGATATAATACAAAAACACAAACCAAATACTGAGCAAGATTTGGTGTCTCTGAATAACTGAATGAATTTCAGCAAAGCTGTAATGAAGTAACCGGAATGTGCAGAACAAGAATGGTAAGAAGAAGGTTTTAAAGAAAATAACCATCAAACAGAAGAAGAAGACTGTAGAAAAGCATGAGCATGATATTCATGTGACTGATCTGCCTTTGGAATACAAGATAACAAAGTTGACAATCTCAACTATTTTGAAGACTAAAGATGCCATCAAAGGAGCTAATATGGAAAAAAGGGTAATGATGTTAAGTAAGCAAAGAACATAAGTGCTGGAAGAGGTGAAAACCTTTTTTTTTTTTTTGTCTTTTTGAGACAGACTTTCACTCTGCAGTTCAGGCTGGCCTTGAACTCACTTTGTAGCCCAGGCTGGCCTCATACTCACAGCAATCCTCCTGCCTCAGCCTCCTAAGTGCTGGGATTATAGGTGTGTGCCGCCACGGCCTACCTGAAAACTTTTGTTAGTGTGGTTGAATGAGAAACAGTTGGCAGGCATATAGCATTACTAAAGCTACGATATGTGAAAGAGCCAGGAAACTGCACAGTGACTTGCTGCAAGAAAAGCCCCTAAGTGCAAAAAATGATAAATTGAATGCTAGCAAAGGGTAGTTTGATAAATTCTATAAGAGAAGTGGCATCCACAGTGTGATAAGACATAGTGAGACCTCTAGCTCTGACAAGGCTGCTGCAGAAGCGTACAAAAAAGAATTCTTGGAATTCGTGCAGGCAGAAAGATACATTGCTCAATGTGTCCAACTATGATGAAACAAAGCTCTTCTGGAAGAAGGTGCCAAACAAAACTTATATCATGCAGGAGGAAAGGGCACTACCAGGGCACAAGCCCACGAATGACAGATTGACCCTTCTGCTACTTGCAAATGCAAGCACTGATCTGAAGATTAAGCCACTACTGGCAGACCATCGTAGGACCCCTCGTGCATTCAAGGAAAAGAATATGAACAAGACCAGATGCCTGTCATGTGGAAGGCCAGTGGGAAAGTTTGAGTCACAAGGCAATTGTTCACAGAGTGACTGAATGAGGTGTTCACACCCATTATTAAGAGATATCTTTCTGATAACCAGCTGCCTGAAAGGTGCCTTCTGCTGATGGATAATACCCTGACACACCCTCAGCCTTGCTGGTGGATGATAAGGATGCTGAGTATGACTTCATAAAAGTTAAGTTCCTCCCCCCAACACAATACCTCTTCTGCAGCCCATAGACCAGCAAGTGATCTGCAACTTCAAGAAGCTGTACACAAAGGTGCTGTTCACCAGGTGTTTTGATGTCACTGAATAGAGGTCCTTGATTTTGAAAGAGTTCTGGAAGAAACATTTCAGTGTCCTGCACTGCATCTCCACCTCATTGACAAAGCCTGGGAAGATGTCACTTTCCTGATCTTGCACTCAACCTGGAGAAAACTGAGTGGCCAGAATATGTCACTGAACGTGACTTTGAAGGGTCTGATGCACAAGGAGTGGAGGAGATTGTGTCCATGGCCAAGAGTATGGGTCTGGGTGTTGCTGGTGCAGACATAGAGGAGCTTGTTCAGGACCGCAAGGAGGACCTGATGATAGAAGAACTTGCTGAACTCCAGAGTGAGCATCCACTGAGGAACAGAAAGATGGGAAGGAGGTCAGTCTTGGTGTGATAAAATCCACTAAGGAAAAATGGAAGGAATTCACTGAGAAGTGCCACCCTAACATGACTGGAATGAACAGAGTACAGCATCTGATGAATAATAATATGGTTTCTCATTTCCAGAGGGTTATACAGCACAGTAAAGAATAAGGGACATTAGACAGATTTTTTTTTTTTGGTCAAAATTGACCCTGCAGTTAAGAGACACAGAAGATACCCCTGAAGGGGATATCTCCACTGCCCTTATAGCGATGGACTCTCCATCCAAACAAAAACCTTCTCCACATCAGTCTTCCTGTCCATGCCGGAAGTTGCCTCCAACAAGGTTTGTGTTCTCTCTCTTCATACTGTTCTGTAATATATTGTACTTTGTTTCATACTTTATGGCTAAAAATATACATATGGGTTGGAATAATTAACCTTACTTACACTGAACCTGATGGGGAACTTTGGTCTGGCTTAGGACCAATTCGGTTTGGGACCAGAATCATGGAATGAATCGTTTGTGAACTGAGACACTACTGTAAGGGCAGAGATAAGTTATCCACAGCCTTGTGTTCTCTGAAGTGACTTGTCTGCAAGGCTGATTCTCAGCTCCTCACTCGATGGAGAAGAAAGAAAGACAGATTACACAGGAGGGATTGACAGGAAAGAGATGTTCAGTGGCTTGGTAGATAGAAAGTTAGCAGAAAAGGGAGGAAGTGAGCAAAGTAAATGTTGTAAATTGTACAGTGCATAGACATCTCTTGATGATCAGTGATTCAGTCTTTACCTACGCAATAGAGGGTGGTCTTGTTGTGAAAGGTAATGTTCCCCTAGGTTGTGCCTTTTCCAACGTCACCAGAATAATATGTAGTAGAAGTAGGTCATGAACTCAAGACTATCTGCGTCTAGTGTGAGTTTGCTTTCCCTTACACCATGATACACTAGAAATCATCAACCACCAAGAATGGAGCAACAGAGACTGTTACAACTTGAGAGATTTCATTGGATTCAGCAAGCCTGAAGAAAGATAGTGTTTTGCCC